CATAAACAATGTTGTTTTTCTTGTTTGAAATTTCCATGTTTATTTAAGCATTTTTAAACAAAAGATATGCAAATGTTTTTTTTTTATTTGACAATGAAAGTTCATAACCGGCTTATAATAAATTCTGTCAAAATCTACAGGAAATTCGTCTGTAAGTGTGTCGTTACTTTTGAAGCATAAAATGTAGTTTTCTGACAGCAGTATCTCAAAACAGACACTCAAGTCGATATTGTGCGCTATGGTTATCACACATGTGTTTTGAATACGTGTTCTAACGAAATCATTTCTAATACTTTCTTTTGCATATGAATGGCAAAAATTAAATCACAAAAGTTTGATCTGTCATACTGGCGATTAAGGGGGCGTTGTTTGTCCGAAACAAATAAGATATAGCTTGTGTTATTGTCATAAGAAAGGTCATTTGTAGTCTATCGAATAGAAGGATTAAAAACAAGTCTAAGAAATCTAGTACAGGTTAGGTCACGGATACTATTCAATGAAATAAAAATGAATATTGAACAATTACTGTCAACATGCAAGTTGCCGTCACTAGCTTTGTTAAATTGAGTTTAACAAAGATGTTAACCCTTTACATCATATATAAGCGAAACAACACACTTTCGAACCACCACCCCCCCTCCATCCCACAAATAGTGAAAAAATGTCCTATTTGGGCCCCAAACACATGTTTTCGTTTGAGAAATGTTGCTAAAAAAAGTGAGCACTTTTTCGGCGCGGCCCCAATCCAAAAGATACATCAAGGGGTTGCCAGACGGGGGATGGCACGGCCTCTTTCTGTTTGGGGGTTTGAAGGGGGGCGGTAGTCCCTCTCATCGCCAAGAAAATTTTAGATTTGTGAGAGGCTAAAAATGACCCCTGGTCGATAATAAGGTAACGTGTAACCAACGCTGAAAAGTTTTTGACTCTATATCAATCCCTTGAGAATTTGCAGCACTTTGGAATAAATTTTAATGGAAAAAACTCAAGGCAAAATAGTGATTTTTGGCAATTTTGAGACGTCCCCTCGTTGTCATGGTAACAGGAAATTTAATATTGAGCATGTCGTTACAAAGGCAAAGGCAATGGTCTAGTCAACATCTGTGCCAAGTTTAATTAGTATTGAAGCATTTTTCATAGTTTCATAGCAGTTTGAACTTGTAACAGGAGGCTTTTCAATGAAAACTGACATTTTTCACAATATGCTCATGAGGGAAAGGGTTAATGTACCTCCTTATGTGTATCATTATTTTCTCTTTTTTTCTCACAATCATTTAAGCCAAGCAGTATTTTTGACAATTTACTACTAGATTTTCGCTTTTAATATTCAATTATACAGTATGGCACATTAAGTCGAATCCTAACATTTTCCATTATCTGAAATATAATGTCGTTCATAATTCGTTATATATTATACACGGCGGCTGAAATGTGCTAGACTGTAAATGAAATACCCTATACAAGCTGTCAATAAAATATCGTTACAAAAAGTGTGACATTCCACTGACCAAGATGTGAACTGGAACCTAATTATGTGACGGCGAAAATGCTTCATTCACAAGGTATATTATCCATTTGCTCATCTATGTTACGAAATTTAAAAGTTTTTGAAGAAAATCGAAATGTAATTATATCCTGAATTTCCTCCATATGTACCATTTATGTTTTATTTTGGATTTCATACATTTTGTGTATATACATGATTACAGATACCAGGGCTGGGAATCAGAACTTCGTCGTATCTTACAATATGTAGATAAACGCCGCCATATTTGAATTTGAAAATGTATATTTTTGTGTATTTCTCTTTTTAATGGAAATGACTGAAAACCAGATATATGTATTAAAACTCTGTACAATTCTCCGCTTTATTTTGTACCTGTTGCTAGCAGAACTATATGGTTAAACAAAAGTTATGGAGAATATGCAACTCTAAGCGTTCGTTTTCCAAGAAAATAATGACTTGTACAAAATGATACGACGCAGTTGAAAATAAAATATGATGCGACACAGTTGTATTTTTTTCAACCGAGTTTATTTTATCAATTTTAGCAATAACCTCAGCTTGATAAAAACAAGAACATTCAAAGAATATGAATGTTCTGTTGCTGTTGAATATTTAGAAAACTTTGTTTGATTAGCCTTGAAAGTTTACTTTGCTGAAGCTACTTTTCAGATGTATATGAACATAAAAATTATTACATAATTCATCATAGTATCTAAAGAAAATAGAAAGGATACTTTATTAAGTTCTTCAGTGTGAAAAGAATGATATAAAAACTGAACCAGCAAAATTAGATTTTAAAGTTAGGTAAACTCTGGAACGAGTATATTTATTTATTTGAAAAACAAAATAAGCTGTGTCGTATCCATAAACCTGCTCACTTCGAGTTGCCAGTTTATATTCGGTCATATAACTTGTCAGAAATGTATATAATTATTTTTGTAAAAGCAAATTTCATTTTTAGAGACAAAAAAAATCGGAAATGGACAGCATCCGTGTATATAACTATTTACACATCATAATTATCGAACGGCGTAGAGTTAAACATTAAGTTCCTGAAGATTAAAAGAAAACGGAAATTCACTCGAGGCATGGAACGTTATATAACTATTATTATGTCTTACTACATATCCTTCAATGAATGCTCATATATAAACGAGAATTATGTTGATAATGTCGTTGAAAGTAGACATTATTCAAGAATATTGTTCGAAATATAAATACATGTATAGAGTTCATTACTAAAACTTAATTTAAAATGCATTTCTGTCCTGTGACTCCTGTCACGTTTTAAATATAACTGCAAATGTATGTAAAACATCTTATGTCACGACGATTGTACACTCTTTTTTCAATGTGGTCTTACTTTTATTTGGACGCTGATGTCCGTTTGTACCAAAGTTGGGGTTTGCTATGCAGCCCATAGACGAGAGTATGGTATTTTGTTGTGGACCGTTTTTATTACAAAATGCTGTATAACACTGTCCCTTTGTCAGCGTGCATATCCTTTAACTCAGGAATGTGTAACGCTATTGACAAAAAGAATAGCACAGTAAGTAAACGATAAAAATATTTTATTCTAAATAAAATATTAAAAATGAATTAGCTAATAAGGCTGCTAAGACATTTTCCTTTAACCAGCATTACAATTTTTTTCTAGGAATTTGTTTACTTTTTAAGATCATTCGTGTGAAGGACAAAATCGTTACTGTTTTGAATGTCACTTTTGTGTTTTGTCAAATAAATATGTACATTGAACACTTTTAAATCATTATTTTTTCATATTCTGTATACCTAAGGCATTTGTCAACAATTGTATTATAGCAATAGACGGAAACTGGTAAAATAGGATTTAACTTCTTTCAATGCGATAACCGCCATCGCTTCATTGCTTTATTCACGAATTCGGCCTCGTTAACAATGGCCTCAGTTACCTTTTATCTTCTAAATTAAGTGTAATTTGGCACGAGTAGATTGGAAAATGTCTCGGGTACACAGAATATAAAAACCGTAAAGTAATATATATGTTATTGTATTTAAAGATATCAACGAAACTAAAAATCGCCATCAATACGGTAGTCGGGAAGTCATTTTCACGATTTATCTTGAAACATTAACATTTTCTTGGATTCTTTTTTGATGAGGTTTAAAGTATCATGTCTCAGCAACTGTATACTGTATTCATTTACAATAAAACCCATTGGTCTATTTACTCATCGCAGTGCTATTTTAAGCCACTAAATTGCACAATTCTGCGTTTCTTTTGCGCAATTCCTGCTTTATTTGCACATTTCTGCGTTACTGGATATGCACGGTGTGAGTGTGCAACCTTGAAATACACTTGTGCAATATCGAAGCAATGAACTGTTTATACAATGTTATAAAATTAAGTGCAGTATAATTGATGGCCTAACGGGAATGGATTATCTTAATTTGTTAATTGTTGAAAGAAATGCATATCAGCTTGTCCATGTGAATTTTAACTTTGTTTTTCTTTGTAATTACTGTGCACAAACAACATTTTATTGTATAGAACCACTGTTATTATCTGTATTCAAACATCTTTAGTTCTAGTCGGCTGTTTGGGTATTCATATCATTTGTTTGTACTGGACAAAATAAATTATCAAATATCTAAATAAATTAAATAACAGTCAAAAAGTAAACATTTATATACATTTGGAAAAAAATTACATTGGCGCAGGTTAGATTGTTTACATGATCATTTCGGTTAATTTAACTAGTAAATGGTATAAAATACTAACCAAACACCTACTCGTAAATTTTATATGGCAGTTGGTTTTAAGACAGACTTTTGATCATATTAAGTCAATGGATCCTTAACGGTGACGGAAGAATCGTTTGTCATATATTTTGAAAGAAATTAAAAGTATTACTCTTATTTTAGTAGTATCGCCATCAGTTACATACATGGACATTTTCAAATCGTGTTGCGCAATCTCGAAATAGCATTCAACAGACATATTTAAAGTAAAGATGTCACGATCTGCTAACGTAATCAAAATTAACGAACTGATGAACCCTTTAATGTAGATCATGTTTAAAGATTTATTTGCAGTTGCATATATGACCATTTTCTATTCTAAACAATTAATGGAAGTCAATCTTACTAACTTTACTACAAATAACTACATTATAACTGATTCATCATCTTTTTCTGTCCATTTTTCTCATTTCATTTGCCGAGTTCATGTTTAAATAATGACAATACTCGCCATTCTTTCATTTTTGACAAATTACCGCTTTAAATACTTATGTATAAACAGACCTTTATGTCTCAAGTTTCACAAATTCCTTTTAAGATATTAGACATATATTTAGTGTTCGTTTTACGCAATCAATTTCGAATTTGGTTGCAGAGAACCAGATTACACCCAAATAACCAATACTCTAAACAAAGCAAGCATGCATTAAATTCGCCGTGTTTAAATATCGTCAACTGTCTACATATTGAAAAGGGACAATAACAAAACAACATATTGATCGCATTGTGTTTTTATTCCTCATACTGTTGAATGGTATTGTTTATTTAACCAGAGGCAGTTGTTAGTGCTTGTCCCCCGCAGTGGGCATGCTGATCTCCAGGCTTTGGAGTTTCATGGAAGTAACCGGCTAGATTCTGAAATCTGAAAAATTATATTAATTACTTTGTAACATCATCATTCTTTTCCAACAGGTCTCGTGACGATAAAGCCTACACAACGTTAGTCGTTGACAATTGTTCACTAAAATTTGAAGTGAAATATCAAGAAATTTGCAATGACACGCAGAAACTGTCATAAAGTGTGCATAATAAATCTTTTGCTGATCAAGATAATATTGAATGTCATGAAATAACAGACACAAAACTGTTTATTATTCTAATTGTTACAGGAAATTCATTTTAAAATGTTGTTATATTTGAATATGGAGTATATTTTCAGAAAAGACATGTTAACAACACATATTCCCCAGTGTTGTCGTTCTTCCATTCTTTATATTTAAGATATCTCTTTCATACATTGGGGAAATACAAAATATCAAAACAAAATCGAATGAACTTGACATACGCATGGCAAATAAGAGGACAACTATGGTCTAACAATCCATCCTTGATCAGCACGTGGCACTCTTTCTCACAGGCTTGTTCCGTTGGATCACTTCCTAACACATCAAGCATGATTTGTACATCACACTTCAAAGTATTAAGGTCAACTGAAGATATGATAATGAGAAAAATGTTTTAGTTCATATTTCAATGCTAAAGACATAAAAGTGAATTACTCCTTGTGACAAAAATGGATTTTTGTCTATTGTTATTCAAAACATCACCTAGTGCAAATTTCATTTTTTTCTTTCAAATTTGTGTTCATTGTTTGTCAAAAACAGATTTTGAATTCAAAAAAGCAGAATTAGGAACAAGGTTGAAGGGTGGATATACAGTACGCATTAACACAACCCATTCTAATCCATCTGTTCTAAACGCACACAAAGTCATTGTGTACAGGTTACCAGCCAGGTTAAACTTTGAAAACGCCTTTTTTACTCAGACAGCATTAAAGGATAGAAATTTAGCAATAGGATTATCTAGCACTTACACAGACTGTCAATAGTGAAGCCACCGATAATGAATCTCTTTGAATCTTCTGTAAACGAAAAAATGTTCATTGCATTAGAATATTTGCAGTCCATACATTAAGATATGTATACGCGATCCGGAGTGAGATAATTGTATTTTATAATACAATTGTAGCCTACAAATACTTACAATCAGCCTGCCATGTAAATCTATGACATAATTGTCGAAATGTCGAAGTCTATTTAATAAAAACTACATTACGTCTACTGCTTACTTTATTTCAAACGAAAAGTAATAAATGCAAAAAAAAAAACAACTACACAATGCAACTCATTTTTAAGTATAAACTTAAAAACCATGAAATGAATTTACTAATATGATGATCAGTCCAAGTGATGTTAGGGCATTATTTTAGCAAAATCGAGCTACCGACAAAATTAAGTTTTGTGAGTCTGCCCATAGTATGTGCTACCAATACACAATCCTGTAGAAACTATAAATGTAGTAAATCCATTGACTTAATTCTTATTTGTTTACCCCCTACCCCTTTTGTAAAACAATAAACCTTTTCAAACAAAATTAACATGTGCACCTACCTTACATGTAAATTATCATCAAAGTAAGTATTCTAAAATATAAAAGTTACCTAATGGGGCAGCAAGAACCACTGGCACAAGAAGGCAAACCAAGAACAACTTCATTGTTTTCTACTGCAATTATCACAGTTTGAGCATTAAAAGATAAGAATCTCATATCAACGAAGTCAAGAAAATAGATATATTTTTTTCTGCAGTTGTCAGCATTAGCAACGGAAGTCAACATTTGTGTATTTAAAACAATTCTTAGGGCCAATACAAATTTTCTTTAAAACATCAAGTCAGTAAGACAATCTTAATTTATAGTCCGTTATGGTTATCAGTTCAAAACATTTAACTTTGTATCCGACATATGTATCTAAATAAACAAATTGTTTTTGAATCATCTACTTGTTTGATCGAAAGAGACAAGTACAATAGTATAACTGCGTTTTTATAGAGCATTATGTGCAAATGAAACTTTAAAATCTTAATCAATATATGAACAATACGTCTTAGCAATTATTTGTATAAAAAATAATTATATTTATCTATATAGATTTCGATCCATTTTCTCTGAAATGTCCTTACCTTAATTTGACGTTACGTTCCTGTGTAAAAGTGATTTTAAGGCACTGGAATTACTGCCTTTTAAAGGCAACACATGCAAGATAACCTTTGTTGACGTCTTCGAATATCCATATTTGGACAAATAAAAAAAGGATTTAACAAAAAATCCTTATCATAATGTACGATTTTCTAAAACAGAGAAACACAGACGAATTGGAAAACGACCATTTAACTGTCATAGTTAAAAATTATATGACAGTAGAATAAGCATTGGTGCATGACAATACAACAAACGCAGAGATTCTGTAGTCATGTGCAGGACAAAAAAGTAACTTTCTGCTATTAAACTATTACTGTCGCCATTGTCAGTGATAAATAATTGATTTCCACTAATTTTAACTTCTACAATAATAATAATGATGATAAAATAATAATAATAATAATTGAACAATCATTTCAGATTTTTTCCAAATACCTGTGCTCCTTACGAGATTACTAGAAACTTGTGAAAAGAACTATTCAGTAGTGTCAAACGAGTAAGAATTACGGAAAAACAAATTGCCGTCAATACATTGGTTGTGTTTACAACCAGATTATTTATAAATTGATATATAAATTGTTTTTCTTACTTATAATACTTATGTCCTTTTTAATCTGTTTTACGAACCAGAGCGTTTGAGAAATACAATTATATTGTAATATATATTCCTCATTCTATCCACTTTATCTGCGTACGAAAAAAGAAGCACCAGGCTAACACATTAAAAATGATGGTGTTGGCTAAAATAAAAATATCGACAAATGATGCCAACATAGCAATTCAACCCATTTAAACTAAGCCATGTTTGATACAAAGATTGCAAAGAATTGTCGAGTTTAATACTTATCAAAATCCCGCTTAGTTGAAAATGGTGAACTAAGGAGCCTCGAGCGGACATATTTCTCCGTAAAATTAATCTTGGTCTTTAAGTCAAATGGTCATTTGTAGACATACAAAGGGATAAGTAGTTGGTGGTCACTTGCGTAGAAATTGGTTATCGCTTGAGGTTTTCAAAGGAAAGCTGGGTAATTTAATCGATTTTGACATATGCTTTGGCAAAAAAAATATAAAAATAACGCCAAAATAAGACGAAATGGCTAATATCTCTTTAAATGGAAATTTAATTAAGAACGATGGAAAACAATATCAGGAAATAAACCATATTGTTTGATTTTCCTTCTTATTCCTCATAAATTTATTTTACAATGCGTTACATTTTTAAACTCCTTCGAAACAAATCTCACTTATGAGCAATCATAGTGTAAAAATGGCATGCACTGTAAAGATAAGATATCTAACATGTGTCGAAATATTCGTGACTTTGAGGACGTACCAATGTTTGAAATTCAGGACATATTGATAACCTTAGGTTGAAGGTCAAGTTTAACAAATTCATTTGACATAACTTTGTTTCATTAAAGCGAATTTGCTGACAAGACGGCCTTTTTATTGCCACGTTTAGTCATTAAATGCATATAATTCACTTTAACTACACTTTTAATAAAAATAAATCAGTCTTACCTTACAATAATCCATTGATAATTACTGCTATGATTACGCATGAGGGTTCATATATAAGTGTTGTCATTTGCTTTTGCACAGTCATGCCTAAATTTTCACTTAATCACAATATGTTTTCATAAGTGTAAACTGTATGAAATTAACAAAAGTAAAGAAAGTTACATTAACTCGTATTTTCACTCATGAGTGAAAATACGATCCAATTCTTGTTTAATGTATGTCACGATTTCTGATAAATATACGTAGAATTGGACTATTACAATTATTATAATAAACTTCCTGGTCAAAGAATACATTCTTATGTTTAGGATTTACAAAAAATGAACCTGTGACACTTAAATCTCAAAAAATACATAATTGGCGACTCACATAAAAATGTTTAGTTAAAAACAAAATGGAAAGGAATCCCTAAGGAAAACCCAAAACAGCAAATTTTAATATGTTGCAGGCTCAATTTGATTGAGTCTGTTCTAATAATAAACCCGCTCGATTTAATAGTAAGAAAGGATCGAGTCGTGTTACTTAAAAATCTCTCGGATCCGATTACCATTTTGACAAAGACGGAAAAAAGGTCGTGGGTGAAGAAGGTTAAAAACCCGCCAACTTAAAGTTTATATACGGATAATTTTCATGACTGTGCCACCTAGAAAATTATTATAAATACAACCATAGCTTTAGACATAAAATTAAATGTGTTCTTGAGTGTTGAGAATTGAGTACTGCTCAAGCCGGTGCTAGGGGCGTTAAGGATGTTGCACGTATTCATTATATTTTGCTTTTCATTAAAAAAAATGTTGTAATTAATGATTCCGAGTAGGGATCACTTTGATTCCAGATTTTTCTATTGATAGTTGCCTTTGCCTTGTTGAGCTTTATGTTAAAATAGCATGCAATGCATTTAGATCCGATGTACGATAATAATAGTTATTCTCGATGCAAATTTATTTCTTCAGTTTGGGTTCTGTGAACTTACTGTTACAGACAAAAGGCAACATTGCATACTCGTATTTTTACAATTATGTAAGCGGGAAGCGATATCTTGTGACTTATTATGTAGGGCAAAGAACCCTTTGAAATGATTTGAAATTCGTTTGACACATGGAAATACAGTCATATTTCCACATTTACAAGATGATTGCAACGTATTTGAAAGCACGGCCAAGACGAAAGTATCAGTTCCTTATTGTATTGAAACTATAAATGAATTTGACGTTTTAAGAAATAATGAGGGGGAATCCCTATCACCCTCTTCTCTTACAATGTCTTATACGAAATTGGAAAGGCAAAATACAAATGATATTGTGGAATATAAGATATACTATTTGCATACATTTGTATTTGCCTGCCAAAAATGTGAGAGCATTAAATCTACCCTTGTCTTATTTTTTTCACCGACATCGTTATAGATGTGGATAAAGTGAGTCACATTGATATCTTTGGTCATGGACACTTGTGTTATAAATATATATTTACAGTTACGGCCATTGATTATTGATGTAATTCAATTTGTTTATTACATATCTTTGAAAATTCACTACGTTTTGGGGTGAATATTCAAGACATTTATTACATGCTTAAGATTGATTGCTTAATTTAATTAAATGATGACTTATATATTTAGTAGGGACATACATTGCGTCGTCCTTTTATCTTAGGAATCACACACACGTCCTTTTATTTTAGGGGCCACATGGTCAAGGTCGGGTAACCAGTGTTAGAAATATTTTATACTGTTGCACAGACATACTGACTTTTTTTTATCGGTGTCACTCTCAATTGACAGGTGGGTACTTTCTCTTTTGTTTTTGCAATATTCTTAGTCAATGAGTCTTTTGGAGCCATGTTAATCGGTGCTAAAATAGATTTTCCTTTTTACTCAACTGCAATTAGTTAACAAACGTTTTTAATTTTAAGTAGGGCATACCTTGGTAGGTCCTCTTACTTTAAATGTAGAAATGGGGCCATTGGGTAATGTTCACAGAAAAATGAAATAAAATATGTACACATTGGGCTTGGACTGTAGCTTACGATTACCATTATTGTCTATGAACAGACAGAGCCTGCAACATTTACAATTTAGACTTGATGGCCTTTCTTTGGTGATTCTGTTTTTTCTCTATTGTGGTAGAGATGTCATTGCCGATGGTGCTATGTATTTTATTTATTTTTCTAACATAAATTGTATTGCCGTTTATAGTCAAAGTGTTTCGTGGATAATCCATAACCATTAATAACATTTTGTTGTCAAGAAACATCAGGCAAACTTATTGTGCCTGCAAGCAACACAGTTGCAATTAAATAAATTATATAATTTTGTAGAGTACGCACAATATAGATAAATATCAGCCGTATCCGTAATTGGAATAATTGACTATTCTACATGATATTGTCACGAACCTTCATGTCTAATTATATATCACTGGTAACACACCATTATTGTGTCAAACGTCGCCTCATAAACTGGCGACTTATGGATTTTCATAAATTATTATTTTCGAAGAGGGCCCTAGATAATTTTGCTGTAACGTTTGGTCCAACCCTTATGTATGTACATTGTATCAATGCTAAAGGTAATGATGTAAGATTGTGTATGTTTATCATGTACAAAATATACAATAGAATATTATTAAACCATAGAATTATGTCCTTTATATCAGTCTTACCTCAGCAGTTTCAAAGCTGTAATGTTTGTAATAACTAAGGAAAAGAATGTGTACCAGAGGGAAAAAAACTGATATTTACGGTTACAAATTGATTAGAAAGCGTTTTTATATATATCCATACATCAACGAATATAAAGTACTATTATGTTTTTATATTGTACCTCAGTAAGGATGGCTGAAATTTGGAAATGAAACGTTCATTAAGACAAACTTACAGTAATGTTCAGTAGATTACATTTTATTGCTTGTCAGGCTTGTTGGAATCATTTATTTACCACTGAAAGGCATAATCAAACCGAAAGTGCAACATGTTCAAGTTGTCAGGTAAGTCGATCTAAAAGCTTCATTTTTAACCGATCTATTACAAGACACAATCATACATAATCTTCACATTTTCTTGAAACAGAAATACAAAAAAAACTATCCCGCTTTTTTAAATGCACTAAAGTATTTAGGAATCAATATTGTATAGAAAATTACAAGCTATTTAAAGGCACTTCATGTACTAGTATTGGAAATGAATAGATAATGTTATAATAATGGCTTTAGAGCTAGTTATATGGTGATCACCTGACATATAGATTTTAAGTTGAACGCGTTCCCCAATGTGCTGACGAAAACTTCGGCATTACCAACACCTTACGGGAACCGTCAAATGGTTAAAACACAGTAGGGCAGTTAACACTTTGAAGTCTTTTCTCGTACAAATCAGATAGCTTCATGTGTCGATGGTCTTTCTATCACATAAAGTAATATATAAAAACAACTTGCCTCCAGATTCATTGTAAATTTTATGAATTTTAAAAAAATGTATTTAGAAGTTTAATGTGTGAAGTAAATAAAGAAAGTACAAGTACTTTATAGACTG